ATAATAGCTATTGGAGGACATGTACATAATACAGTGAAGTCTCTGTGCTTAATAGTATCAGAATTTCACCCCAATGGAAAGAAAATCTGTGCTCTACTCTTTTCACACTGTAATACTAAAAGATGAGATTTTTTTTCCCAAAAGACTTCTAATACCTATGTGCTTAGATAAAAATTTGAGAAATTCTGTTAAATATTTTTCCTGATCACTGCATTTCTAATTTTTTTCTTTTTTAGGAAGTCAAGTACAACTTCACTGAAAAGAATTACACTTTGATTCCAGCAGATATCAGTAATAATGTTAGTATACTTGACCTCAGTTATAACCAAATTACTCTGAACTTAACAGACATCAAAGTGCTACAGATGTACTTGTTACTTATTGAGCTCTACTTGAATCAGAACAGTATCAGTATCTTACATAATAATAGTTTTATCAATCTGTCCAGTCTACAAATCTTACATATCTGTAGAAATTCCATCAATGTAATTCAAAAGGATGCATTTATGGGCTTAAATAAGCTAAAAGAGTTATATCTGTGCCAAAACAAAATATTACAACTGAACCCAGAAGTGTTTGTGCCTTTAAGCAACCTGAAAGTTCTCAATCTGCAAGACAATCTGATGAACTACTTTGATAGACCACAACTATTACATCTGGAATTAATAATTTTGTACAGAAATCCATGGAACTGCACTTGTAGACTATTCAATTTACAGAACTGGCTGAACACATCAAATGTAATACTAGGTAAGCTACCACATTTTAAGTTCATTAAAACCAAAATGTGATTTGTTTTTGGTGTTTTACTCCATGAAAATCTCTCATGTCATGTTTTTTATTTTATTTTTGCTAGTCTTGGGGCTTGAACTCAGGGCCTGGGTGCTGTCCCTGAGCTTCTTTTTGCTCAAGGGTAGCACTATACCACTTGAGTCACAATACCACTTCTGGCGCAAGGCTATAATCCTAGCTACTGAGAAAACTGAAGCCTAAGGAACTTTGTTTAAAGCCAGCCCAGGCAAGAGAGCTCATGAGACTCTTATCTCTTATTAACCAATCAAAAGCTTGAAGTACAGCTGAAACTGTAGCCCAATGAGTGGTAGAGCACCAGCCTTGAGCACAAAAGCTAAGGGGCAATGTCCAGCCTTGAGTTCAAGCCCCAATACTGACACACACACACACACACAAAAGCTGGGCGCCAGTGGCTCATACCTATAATCTTAGTTACTCAGGAGGCTGATATCTGAGGACTGTGGTTCAAAGCCAGCCCAGGCAGAAAAGTCTATGAGACTCACCTCCAATAAACCACCAGAAAACGGAGGCAGCACTGTGGCTAAGTGGTAGAGTGCTAACCTTGAGCTGAAGAGCTGAGGGACAGCACCCAAGCCCAGAGTTCAAGCCCCATGACCAACACAAACAAACAAACAAAACCCTTCACAACCATTAGGAAATTATTTTGGTTACACAGAAACATGAAAAGAAAAAAAAAACATTAAAAAATAATACCGGACAGATGTTCTTCTGTCCCCATCCCAGAATAAAAGAAATTTCAATGTCATTTCAGGTATTGAGGCTATAGTCAATAAAGACTTCTTTTCTTATAACTACTTCCTGTATATTTTCAGGGTATCTTGTCAGAGTAGGTGACAAATGCCTTATTTTGTTAATGACAGATCATGTTCTGCTTCAGATTCACTTAACTGAAGTCTTAATAATAAAACCTTTACTAACACAACAGTAATAGATACTGCATTTCAGCTGTATTTATAAAATAATTTAGCAAGAATGTGCATCTTCCTTCATTCTGTTGCCATGCAAACACATCAAGGGTTTCTCATTGTTAATGACCTTAGACAGAGCAAACCTTCTAAATAAAGCTATTGTAAAACATTCGAATTCTCTATAAATATTAACTTATTCCTCTTATTTACTAGACTATGAGAACTTCACTATGTGTACCTATCCAGACAACCTGAAGAGCTACAACATCAAAACAGTGCCATTTACACCTGAATGCCACTCAAAACTGATTTCAGCTACAAGTGAAGATCTTTACATTCATTTTCAGTCCATTAACAATTCAACTTTTAATAGTTATTTAAACAATGCAACAAGAAATCCAGGTAATGTATTGGCTTTGAATGTTAATATTGCTAGAGGTATCATACTACATAAACCTGACTTTCTATTTCCCCTTTGTGAATATCTATAAACAAGTAAGAACAATTCCTAACCAGGTGCTGGTGGCTCATGCCTAGAATCCTAGGTAATCAGAAGACTGAGATCTGAGCTCACTTTGAAGCCAGCCTGGGCAGGAAAGTCCATGAAACCCTTATCTCCAATTATTCACCAAAAAGTCAGAAGTAAAGCTGTTGCTCAATTGGTAGAACATTAGCCTTCAGCAAAACAGGGCATGGACAGTGCCCAGGCCCTGTGTTCAAGTCTAGCCCAAGGACCTACATACACACACACACACACACACACACACACACACACACACACACACACACACACACACACACGTATGCATACACACAAAGATGGGTCTTGCTAACTTTAAAGGCAAGTACCACCATACCGGGCCAAGACATAATTCTTGTGTGTGTGTGTATGTGTGTGCATGTGCGCGAACCAGTACTGAGGCTTGAACTCAGGGCCTGGCACTGTCCTTTAGCCTTAGCTTTTTTTTTTTTGTCGGTTGTGGGGCTGAACTCTGGGCCTGGACACTGTCCCTCAGCTCTTCAGCTCAAGGCTAGCACCCTACCACTTGAGCCACAGTACCACTTCCAGCTTTCTTCTGCTTATATGGTGCTGAGGAATCAAACCCAGGGCCTCATGCATGTGAGGCAAGCACTCTACCACTGAGCCAACTTCCCAGCCCTAGCCTTAGCTTTTTTATGCTCAAGTCTGGCACTCTACCATTTGAGAAAAAGGTATTCTTTTACCACACTATCAAATACTTTTTTATATAGTGTGTTAGTCACATCTGTCTTAAGTAAAGCTATAGTTTACGTTCTAATATCAGCACTGGACAGTTAACAGGACCGGGAATTGTGATTGTTTTACTTCTGTGAATTTAACAGAATCTCTCTCTTTCACTTAAGAACATGAACCTCTTGGAAAAAGCTGGGCTTTCCTTGTTGGTGTCGTTGTCACTGTCCTGGTGACTTCCCTCCTCATCTTACTTGCTGTCAAATGCCCAGTATGGTACAAGTTTCTGCTTAGTTACAATCATCATCGCCTAGAAGAGCGTGAAGTGGAAACCTGTGAAGATGGCTTTAGTGGAAATACAAATTCTCCTTCACAGATACCACATATAAACTCTGATGACACCATAGTAATATTTGAACAATTACATTCATTTGCCATAGATGATGATGGGTTTATTGAAGACAAATACATAGATACCCATGAACTATGTGAACAAAAATAATGTCTTTCGTTGTTTGAAGTTTGAAAAGTACTATCAGTCTGCTCATAGTTTAGACATGGAGATTTTTAATGTAACAAAACTACAGCTAGTAGGCCTTCACCTCAATTAGTACTATATATAAATATATTAAAATTCTGTTTAAGCTGATATACCATATAGTCTGTGAAACAGAATTGGCTCATGTTTATAATACATATTCACTTATGTTTCTAAAGCCAGTTTGTCTCTATTTTTTATTGTTAATTTATTGTTTAGTAGAGAATGACTGTTAGCAAAGCAGAATTACTCTTAAGGGGTGAGGTGGGCAGTTCCCTTAAGACAAGCTGTGCTAGCTTGGAAGATGTTGGGGCCTGGAAGTTTATCCAATTAGGTATGGTTACTAGGTGGTCCTCCTCAAAAGGATAGGCACTGTGCAGAGGCTGCCTGAGTGTGTACACAAGAATATTTGGTGATCTTTGCTTTTCTTATTTGATGTTCTCTGCCCTTCCAGGTTTAACCTTGATATAGAGTGAGCTCCACCAGGATAGGAGAACATTATCTTGATGGCAGTAACCACTGGAGTTTTAGAATTGTGTATGGCAGCCTGAGGCATTCCCTCTCTCCCTGGTTACAATTTCTCTGTGTAGCTCTGGCTAGCTTCAAATTCCTGGTATAGTTTAGGTTGACCTTGAACTCTAGAACCTTTCTTTCTCCAAAGTGCTAGGATTACAGACATAGTTCACAACATCCAGTTTTAATTTTGAAAATAAGCTAATTATCAGAACATTTATGAACACAGTCTAAACTAGTTGGCATTTACTATTTTTAGGTAGGTTATATACAAAACACACATTATTTACAGATATGAAACAGATTACTAATATAACTATTAATGCAAATAAGGTAATGTAAATAGCCTGCTAATAATGTGTCTTTCATGGACTAAATGGAACTAAAATATTATACCTCAAATTAGTTTGAGTTAAAATCATAAATGGTATATCTGAAGACATCTATATTTATCTTAGATTATTAAGTTGCTGGAACAGAACGTATGTATATAATTTGGTCATTTTATCCGTATACAATTTAGCCATTTAGAGATAAATTAAGAAAACATATGTTAACAATAAAATTTCCATTGTAAACATCTACTTTAAATTTTAAAAGGCAATAGGAGAAAAAGTTAAAAATTTTTACAAAGAAATAAATGGCTTAGAGGGGAAGACAAATAAAGAAGGGAAGGGGGAAAATGCAGTCAAGAATTCATTATAGTAACTGTAACCCCTCTGTACAGTATCTTTACAATAAAAAATATATATTAAGAAAAAAAAAGAATTCATTGTATATACCACAAAACTAAGAAAAGTAAAGAAAGGAGTGGGTTAAAGGGGGGGTGAGAATGTTGAAGGGGGTGATACTGATCAAAAGGCATTGTATTCATAAACTGCTTTTATATGGTACCTCCTTTGTACAACTGCTTAAAAATAATTTTAAAAATAAATTCTAAAAATAAATAAAAATAAAAGAAATTACTCATGTTTACCTACTAAAGTTTAAGAATCTGACTTAAAAAGGTTGAACTTACGCTTGTCTTTCAGTAAAGATGATATCCATACTTTGTGTTTCTCGATCATTTTGAGCTTTAAGCTGAGTAAACAGTTAAGAAATTAGTGATTTTAAAATGCAATCATAAAATCAAACTTTTTCTGTAGAGGTTATCCTGATTATGAACTAAAGGAGAATAAGAAAAAAATACAGTATCTGTTTCATTAACAAGTAGTCTTTTCCAAGCATAAGCTCAAACCAAAAATATTCATTGTTCTTTAGTATTCTTCCCAATGATCCAATGTAAATTAAGTTTACTTAAGTAGCATTTCAAGAATGCAAGAGCTCAAAAAAATTGAGCGGGGTACCAGTGGCTTACACCTGTAATCTTCTCAGGAGGATGAGATCTGAGAATCATAGTTCAAAGCCAGCCTGGGCAAGAAACTCCAAACTAACCACCAAAAAGCCAGAGTGGAGAAGTGTATCAAGTGGTAGAGCACTAGCCTTGAGAATGAAAAAGCTTAGAGAAGGCACCCAAGACCTGAGTTCAAACCCCAGAACGAGAAAAAAAAGAAAGAAAAAAAAAAAGACTATAACATGCTGAATTCAAAACCATCAGTTTTATTCTTAAACCTATTGAATTCTATCCATGTATATCCAAATTAAAATTTGAACTTACCTCGAATAACAGAATACTTTAAGAGGTCTTATATTTTATTTCTGGCATTAAAATACAATTTATAAGTTGTGAAGTTAATAATAATGTAATAAATTATTTGGGTTATAGAGCTCTAAATTTAAGTCAATTTATAAATTCTATCTTTTTCACAGAAATGTAAATAAATTATAAGCTACATAGTTATATGTTGTATGTTCTCACCTACATGTTTATAACCAAAGTAAGTGGATATTAACATGTTCTACTGTTTTCTACCAAATAATTAATCTAAGAACATTGAATACAAATTCTCATTAATCAGTCAAACGTCAGTATTGTATCTGGTAGCATATGCATTCATATTTGTCTTTGTCATAAAACTATGAAAATGTATTGTTTCTGCCCACTGAGCATGTGTGCATCACCTCCATTTGTGCAAAAATCAAACCAGAAATACTGATAACTAATGTATATACAAGTAAAGGTAGATGGCTATATCTAAGTCCAACACCAGTTTAAAAGAACAGATCTAAAGCATCCACCTTGGAGATCAAGAGGAAGAAAAAGAGCAACTAAGGGAGCTCAAGAATAACAGCAAAAATTTAGAATCAGTGATTCCTATCTGTAAGGTTCACAAGACTTTTACTGAACTCTTTCCAAGCTGGGTCCTAGTGGCTCTTGCTAGTAATCCATGCTACTCGAAAGGCTGAGATCTGAGAATAACAATTCAATGCCAGCCCAGTCAGAGACCATGAGAATTATAACCCCTTTGTAAAGTCACTTAAAATAATAAAAATATGGGGCTGGGAATGTGGCTTAATGGTAGATGCTTGCCTAGCATGCATGAAGCCCCAAGTTTGATTCCTTAGTACCACATAAACAGAAAAAGCCAGAAGTAGTGCTGTGGCTCAAGTGATAGAGTGCTAGCCTTGAACAAAAGAAGCTCAGGGGCAGTACCTAGGCCTGAGTTCAAGCCCCAGAACTGGCAAAAATAAATAAATAAGCTGGGTGTCTGTGACTCATGCCTATAACCCTAGTTACTCAGGAGGCTGAGATCTGAGGATCATGGTTTAAAGGCATCCTGGGAAGGAAAGTCCATGAGACTCTTATCTCCAATTAACCACCAGAAAGCCAGAAGTGGTGCAGTGGCTCAAGTGGTAGAGTACTCACCTTGAGGAGAAGAGCTCAGGGACAGTACCCAGACCCAGAGTTCAATCCCCACAACTGACAAAATATGATTACAATTATGATTAATACAAATATGATTACAAAAAAAGTCCATGAGACTAATATTTACAACCAACCAACAAAAAACCAAAAGTGGAGCTGTGGCTCACTTTTGCACAAAAAAGCTAACAATTAGTACTCTTGAGTTTAAGCCCCAGTACTGTTACTAAAAAACCAAAAGAACCCAAAAAACAAAAGCCCACATCTTTTTAAATATAATTGCTTTGTTTTAGAGAATGATTCACATGTATCTATTGCTTATATTGATATTTCTTACCATGTTGTAATCATTCATTACTTCTTCCATTTCGGTATTGGTATTAAGTTTATCTACCAACTAAAAACAAAAAAAGAAAACAAATTCATTAACCTTAATGGTCTGCCTAAGTTACAAAATAGGGATTCAAACTCCCAAATGATGAGTAGTAATTTAAGAATTAATATTTCCAAGTTTTTTATTTTCTAGGATATGAAAATATATGAAGCTAAGATAAACACAATATGAAAAATTAAAGCTACCTATGCATTTGGCCAGTAACACTACATTTTTAGTTTGGAAAAGTGATAAGGAATGAATCCTTATCTTGCAGATCATATCTTAAAGAGCTTTGCCTGCTTTGGAAAAGATAGCTAAGCTTATAAGTAAATATATACAAAAGATATGTTTTAGAAAGATCTGTCAGAGTATTACTTTCCTTAGAGAAATGTGAAATTTATATATTTACACTAAAGTGTGAAACAACTTTCTTTTCCTAAAAGTTAAAAAGAAAATCAATACGGCAAGACACAAACAGCATACTAGCAACTCCACTTTAAAAAGTTAGGCAATTCCCTGGCACTAGAGGCTCATGTCTGTAATCCTAGCTACTCAGAAGGCTGAGAGCTGAAGATTGTGATTTGAAGCCAGCCCTGGCAAGTGACTCCCTAAGAATATATTTAGAAGGGAACATCATTTTCTTAGGAAATCTCACTAAATAGTAGATTCCACACAGTATTTAATCAAGAATATTTGTGTTGCTCAGTGCATTTAAGAAGTATAATGCAGCAAAATGTCACTGATGGTGTAATGTCTGCCTCAGACCATGCAGGCCCTGTGCAGACACCTCCCTGTCTCTTGGCTGAGTTTCCGCTCAGTATCTGTATTACTAGGTAACTGGCAACCTGGAAGTATTCACTTCCCCCTCCTGCTAGGTCACATCCTGGGCCGCCTCTGGTCACAGGCCTCTCATCTGACCATATGAGGGCCTTATGGTCTCATCTGGATCCTATGTGGCCACACCTTTCTCCCACCTGGCCACATCTCTTCCCATCCCTGGCCTAGATAAGTCCTGGCCCTGGGTTAGGGTGCCCCTTCAGCCATGCCCTTCTCCATCATGCACTGCGGGGCAGCAGTTCAGTAAAATAAATTTCTCTTCCTGCCTGAATACCCTGTGGTGTTCTCTTTATTGGCTATCTAATTAAACCTACCTATTTATCTTACAATAAGTATAATACAAATTACTAAGTAGATATACCATAATTTACCTAATCATGAATAGTCAAATAGTTTGTCATTTTCATTACACTATTGCCTAATATGCCTAACGTGCCTAACTGGAGGAAGAAGATTCTGACACTGTTATAATTCTATTTTCTTTTCTGTTTGTTTGTTTGTTTTGTCTTTTTGACAGTCCTGGGGCTTAAACTTTGGGCCTGAGTGCTATCCCTTTATGCTCAAGGCTATCACTCTACCACTTCAGCCACACAACATTTCTGGCTTTTTCTGTGATTAATTGGAGATAAGTGTCTCACAGACTCCTCCGGCCTGGGATGACTTGGAACCATGATCCTCAGATCTCAGCTTCCTGAGTAGCTAGGATAATAGGCATAAGCCACTGGCACCCAGTTCTAACTCTATTTTCATGAAGGCAACATAACCACAAAGACTGAAGCAGCTGTCAGGGGTCCCAAGACAATCATTTCTTCTCTTTCTCTCTCTCTCTCTCTTCCTTCTTTCCTTTCCTTCCTTCCTTTCTTTCCTTTCTTTCTATTTCTTTCTTTCTTTCTTCCTCTGTTTTTCGAGACAAGGTCTCACTCATTCACCTATGCTGTCCTCCAACTCATGATCCTCCTGACTTATTAAACTCTAAGACCTATGAAAATAGATGTGCGCCCCACATCTTAACTATTTCTTTTTAAAGTCCACAATGGGGAGCATGCTTTGTGGAACAATGTTTGTATTATATTCCCCATTTTGACAGAATATATACAATGAATAAAACATAAGGATGGAAGTAATCTTTTTACTACATAAATTTTTTAAATTTCATGATGGCAACACTCTACAGAAAGAACTATATTTCTAAAGCAATTAAATTGTTGGTACTCAATACATGTTTTGCTAATTATCTAATATTGCTGGAGAAAAAGACAGGTGGGCCCCATATATTTTTTTTTTAAATGGGTCAGGTGCCAATGACTCATGCCTGTAATCTTAGCTACTCAGGAGGCTGGGATCTTCAGCCAGCCTGAGCAGCAAAAGCCATAAGATTCTAATCCCTGATTAACCACCCAAAAGCAGAAGTGGAGCTAACGCTTCAGGCCTTGAGCAGAAAAATTTCAGGGACAGTGCCCAGGCCCTGAGTTAAGGCCTAGTCCCTCCCTCTCCAACTCCCCCACTACCACAGGAAAAAAAATGGAATAATATACATCAATCTACTAAGGCAAGGTATTTCTGGTGAAAGAAAGGAGTATGACAAGAACAGGGGCATCTTGCCAAGTGCCAGTGGCTCACACCTGTAATCCTAGCTGCTCAGGAGGCTGAGATTTGAAGACCATAGTTTAAGGCCAGCCTGGGCAGGAAAGTCCATGAAACTCTTATCTCCAATTAACCACCAGAAAACTGGAAGTGGAAGTGCAAATCAAGTGATAAGAACAAAGAATCTCTGGGATATTGCTCAGGCCCAGATTGCAAGCCCCATGACCAGCAAGAAAAATAAAAGGGATATCTTATTATCTACATTTTTTATAGTGTCAATCTTTCACAGTAACTATATATCCATGAATTATTTGGTATTTAAAGTATGTATTTTAAATGGCAAAAAAAATACAAATATTCAAAGGAAATTCTCTAAGAAAATAACAGATTGGTAGAAGGAAGAAAGAGGTGAGACTGTATGTAACTGTAACCCCTCTGTATATGACCTTTACAATAACAATTTTAAAAGTATATTAAAAAGAGCAAATACCATGTTGTAGTCTGCTAGTTGTCCTTGAAACTCTTTGATTTCAACAGCTAACGTCTCTGCCCTGAAAGCATGGAATACATGTAGAAATAAAGAGATTAACATTATGAAGAACTATAAATTCAGTATTATATGTACAGAATATTGAGTATTGAGTTAATAATTATTTAATGATAAGTTACAAAAAAGATTATATATATTTTAACTGTAAAATTACTTACCTCTTTTCATATGACAAATATACTGAATTTTCTTGATTGTACATTTCTATTTCCTTCTGAAGTTTATTAATTTCAGTTGTAAGTTCACTTATTTTACTTCTAATTGAAGGGAAAAAAAGAACGTCAGTAGTACTTCTAAGGCAGAAGACTCCTTTTCTAGCTAAACAAAACATACATTTCATAAATGTTAACAATGACACAAATGGATTTGTGAAATTCATTTTTAAAAGAGAAAAGTTTCAATGATTTATTTGACTAAGAATGAGGAATATCCCATCCTATTCTACTCAACTGATGAGAAAGTGACATAGATTCTCTAATCACTGAAATGAAGTAGGACTAAGAAACAACAAAAAAAGACAAAATTTAATGGAAATGAGAGAGAGAGACAATACAGATAATGAGGAAAGTTAGGAAGACATCTACCTGAGCAGGCAAAAGAGAGATGAGTAACATAAACTTTTTTTTTTGGTGCCAGTCACGGGGCTTGAACTCAGGGCTTGAACACTGTCCCTGAGCTTTTCTTCTCAAGACTTGCACTCTATCACTTGAGCTACAGCTCCTCTTGTGGCCACTTTGGTGGTTAACTGGAGATAAGAGTCTCATGGGTTTTCCTGCCTGGGCAGCTTTGAACCACAATCCTCACATCTCAGCCACTTGAGTAGTTAAAATTACAGATGTGAGACATCAGCATCCATCAATAAAAACTTCTTAATTTACAGCAGTACACTTATAGACATACAACAAAGCTTATGAATTAGTTAAAACTGGGCCGTTTACAGCAAATGATGAAATACATATTTATGCAGAATTCTGTACTGATTAAGGTGTCATAAATAAATACACAGATATCTTTCTTTTCTTACTAGGGATAGCAGATGTTTCAATGATAAAAAATAGTACTGACAAAAATGCATAAAGGATTATTTTTATCATTAGATTAAAAAAAGTAAACCTTAAATGTGTTATGGTCTGACAGTTTATGTCACCTTCCAAATTAATTTTGAAACTGAATTCCCCAATTCAAGAGTGTTAACAGGTGGAACCTGTAAGAGTAATAATTAGGCCATGAAGATTCTGCCCTTGTGGACAGGATTAGTGCTAGAGGAAGCTTGGTAGACCTCTTCTGTCCTGTAAGGACACCAAGATGATTCCATCCATAAGAAACAAATCCTCACCTTCCAGTACCTCAACAGAGGGTTTCTCAACCTCCAAAACTATGAGAAATAAGTTTTTATGATGTTAACCAGTCTCAGGTATTTTGTTGTAGCACAGATGAATACAAAATACGGTTCTCATACATATAAAAACCTTAGCTACTCAGGAAGCTGTACCTGGAAGATCTCAGTTCAAAGCCAGATGAGGCAGAAAAAAGTCTGCAAAACTCTGCCTCCAATTATCCTGCAAAATGTTGGGCCTGAGGTGTGGCTCAAATGGGAAAGTGCCAACCACGAGCAAGAAAGAGTGAGAGTGGGCCCTGCGTCCAAGTCCTGGTAATGGCACAAAAAAATTTTTTCAATCTAATTATATTATTACAGTACATCTATACTGCATTATTACCAAGTTAAACAGAAATTGTTAGGATATAAAGGAGTTCTTAAAATATCTAACTACTATAGTAAGTACCATATTCATGATTCTGCATAGAGAGATGTTTACTTAACGTACCTAAGAAGTCCAAGATAATAAGATTTGTCTAAAATTTGTCTCTGGGGACCTAAAAGAAAATTTGTGAATGTTAGTGTTTCATTTCAAAATGCAACTAAACTAGCAAATCTAAAGCACAGTCAAAGATTATATGCCAACATTCTCAAAATTTGCAGGAAGATCCCAATACATCTAGGACAATTTCTGAAATGGAAATCTTAATTTTCTTAGGATTGTTACATAAAGAATGCTGAATTAGCCAGGCATTGTGGCTCATGCCTGTCATCCTAGCAATTCAAGAGGCTGAGATTGAGATCTGTAACTCCTTTGTACATCACTGTTAAAACAACAACAAAACACATTAAAAAAAAAAAAAAACTGGAGACTGGGAAGGTGGCTCAGTGGTAGAGCACTTACTTGCATGCATGAGAGGCCATGGGTTCGATTCCTCAGCACCACATAAGCAGGAAAAAAAAGCCGGAAGTGGTGCTATAGTTCAAGTGGTAGAGTGCTAGCCTTGAGCTGAAGAGTTGAGGGACAGCGCCCAGGCCCAGAGTTCAGGCCCCATGACCAGACCCCACGCCGCCCCCCCCCAAAAAAAAAAGAACTGGAAATGGAGATGTGGTTCCAGATCTGGAATCTGAGATCTGCCAGCCAGGGCAGGATAGACCATGAGACTCCAAGTAATTACCAAAGAAGCTGCAAGTGGAGCTGTGGTACAAGTGGTAGAGTGCTAGCTTTGACCACAAAAGCTCAGGGATAGCACCCAGGCTCTAACTTTGAACCTCAGGACTGGCGCGTGCACCAGAAAAAATAGCATTTTGATTCACTTCTCATAAATACAGACACTTTAACATCTTTAACAGACAACTTTTCCATCTTTAAATGGAAATAAAAAACTCAGAATATTTTTATACAATTCCAAATATCTAATGTTCAATCCTGGGCTTTTCTTCAAATTATTTCAGATTTCTTCATATGATAACAAAGCTCCTTGATGAGAAAAATGAATAACAAAATAGCTCATATGTAGATAGAACTTTTTAGTTACAATGTATTTTCACATGCATTCTGTTACAACTTTAGCAAAGAATAAGAACAAGATGCTGTATTTCTCATTTAGTAGTGTGGTACTATAGAATTTTGTACAAAATGCATTCATCTTCATAAAATAAGATACCTTTCATCCCAGTTTTCATTCCACTCAAACCTTGTTGAGTTACAGGCCGATCAGCAACTTTGATTTGAGATGACAAAACTCCACCAGTCCCTAGAGTGCCACCACGAGAACCAGGCCTTGCTGTTCCAGGTGGCAACTAAATGATAAGCAAAGATTATACATTTATTAAACTGGAAAAAACCCACAGATACTGTGCCTCTACTACTAACAGGCTGGAAAGATAACTTCTTTAAAAATTAAAATTCTACACAATTTGTAAAATATTCCTTGCATTTTTATTTTTATTTTTTATTGTGAAAATACTGTACAGAGGGGTTACAATTACATGGGCAAGATAATGAGTACATTTCTTATCAAGCATTGTAGCCTCCTCCTTTGTTTCCCCTTCCTTTCCCATCCTCCCCCCCCCCCCCGTCCCCCCCAATCCTCCCCTGCTGCGCCCGACCCCCCCCCCATTAAAGTTGTAAAGTTCGATTTCGACATAGCGACTTGTACATCTCATTGTTGCAATAGGTCCCACCTGTATCCCTATTTAAACGATTTGTTTTTTTCCCTTTCCCTCCACAATCCTTACATTTTTAGTATCAGAAATATTTAATACTATGATTCAATAAATAATTAATTTTAACATTTAAAATTCTATGAATATTAAACAACATATTGAATTAAAAGTTTAAATCTACTTGTAGTTGTTATTTATAATATCTTCAAACTGAACAATAACTAACAGTGCCAGTCATTGGGCTTGAACTCAGGGCCTTAGCACTGTTTGTGAGCATTTTTGCCCAAGGTTAGTGCTCTACTCCTTGAGCCACAGCTCCATTTCCAGTTTTTTTTAATTTGTTTTGTTGTTGTTATAAAGGTGATGTACAAAGGAGTTACAGTTACATAAGTCAGGTAAAGAGTACATTTTCTTTTTGGACAATTTCACTCCTTCCCTCACTCTCCCAGTTTTTCCCTCCTGCGGTGGTGCACAAGCTGTAGAGTTTCTTTTTTTTTTTTTTTTTTTTTTTGGGGTCCGGTCATGGGGCCTGAACTCTGGGCCTGGGCGCTGTCCCTCAGCTCTTCAGCTCAAGGCTAGCACTCTACCACTTGAGCTACAGCGCCACTTCCGGCTTTTTTCTTATGTGGTGCTGAGGAATCGAACCCAGGGCCTTGAGCATGCAAGGCAAGCGCTCTACCACTGAGCCACCTTCCCAGCCCTGTAGAGTTTATTTTCAACACAGTATCTAGTGAGAGCAACTGCTGCATTTGTTCACCCTCTGTCCCACCATTTCTGTGGCCCCATTACATTCCCAAAGACAGATAAATAAACCAACAAGACAAAAAGAAAACAAAAACTAAGACAAAAACCTTGTTTTCTACTTCCTGAAGTTCATTTCTTTTTCTTTTTCTTTTTTTTTTTTTTTTTTTCGGTTGGTCCTGGGGCTTGAACTCTGGGCCTGGGTGCTATCCCAAGCTCTTCAGCTGAAGGCTAGCATTCTACCACTGAACCACAGTGCCACTTCTGGTTTTCTGAGTGGTTTACTGGAGGTTAGAGTCTCATGGACTTTCCTGCCTGGGCTGGCTTTGAGCCAGCCTCCTGAGTAGCTAGGATTACAGGCATGAGCCACCAGCACCTAGCTTCTGAAGTTCATTTTGATATATATTATTTCATATACATTTCCAGGTTTGGGGAGTTTTTGTAGCTCATTGGAGATAAGAATCTCACAGACTTTCCTGCCTGGGCTGGCTTTGAACTGTGATATCTCAGATCTTAGCCTCCTGATTAGCTAGAATTACAGGTGTGAGCCGTCAACTCCTGGCTCACTTTTGGTATTTTTTAAAATTTTATTTTTATTGTTATTATAAAGGTGATATACAGGAGGGGTTACAATTATATAAGTAAGGTAAAGAGTACATTTCTTTTTTTTTTTCACTTTTTTTTTATTGTGAAAATACCGTACAGAGGGGTTACAATTACATGGGCAAGCTAATGAGAACATTTGTTATCAAGCATTGTTGCCTCCTCCTTTGTTTCCCCTTCCCATCCCTTCCCATCTAAGAGTACATTTCTTTTTAGACAATGTCACCCTTTTCTCACTTTTGTGTTTTTAAAAGTGTGCCCTGATATGACAACACACATCTATATTTTCAGCACTTGGAAAGCTAGGGCAAGAGGACTGATATTTTGAGGCCATTCTGGACCTTATCTCAAATAAAAGTAACTGCTTTTTTCTACATAATGATATAGTTGGGGTTTTTTGTTTTTTGTTTTTTTTTTGCCATCCATGGGGCTTGAACTCTGGGCCTGGGTGCTGTCCTTCAGCTCTTCAGCTCAAAGCAAGTGCTCTATCACCTGAGCCACAGCGCCACTTCCGGTTTTTTAGTAGTTTACTGGAGATAAGAATCTCACAGATTTTCCTGCAGGCTGGCTCTGAACTTGGATCATCAGATCTCAGCCTCCTGAGTAGGTAGGATTATAGGCATGGGCCACCAGTATCCAGCTATAATTAATTTTATACAGTGTTTCCAGCATTAGTATAATTATGTATTATCTTTAAAATTGGTAAAATGTTAATTACTTGAGTAATTATTATTACAGTTTTAATAGTAACAACAGGTACCATCTTACAATAGTGTCTCCCAAAGCTATTTTAAAAAATAGCCACTCATGGGCTGGGAAGGCAGCTCAGTGGTAGAACACTTGGCTAGCATGCATGAGGCCCTGGTTTTGATTCCTCAGCACCACATAAGCAAAAAGAAAAAAGCCAGAAGTGGTGCTGTGGGTCAAGTGGTAGAGCGCTAGCCTTGAGCTGAAGAGCCCAGGCCCAGAGTTTAGGCCCCACGACCGGACCCCCCAAAAAAAAATTGCCACTCAAACACATGTTTAAAGAGCAAAGGAACAACAAATTAGAATATTTTAGAGATTTTTCTAACTTCTACTATAGTATGTGAAGAAGCATTCAACAGACTTGTTTAAACTTACTCCAGTTCCCACTCGAACATTTCCCGATGAGGGTCGAATTCCAGAAAGAGGCCTTCCCGCTAATCCAATTCCACCCCTTGAAATAGGGCGAGATGCTGCAGATTTGTGGTTACTGGCCATGGTTTGTTTGCTTTAACCTGTTTGGAAAGAATAAAAAGTTTAATTCTCTTTTTATATCTTGTATAACAAGACACTACTGGCCCATCATACCTTTCTTTCCCTCTTACATTTAATTCAGAACTGGTGGCATGAATTCAAGTGGTACTGTACCTACCTAGCAAAAGCCAGGCCCTCAGTTTAAACTCCAGTAAAACCAAATAAATTTAAAATGATCTTTAAAATTGAAATCGTGGTATTTCTTGTAAAATGCCATTCCAGGTACCATTACAGGAATTAGCCTCCTCAAACCTGACACTATTTCATAATTATACACTTGGCTATCACACTATTCAATCCTCATCTCCCTGTTATCCTACCAAAATACAAGTCCATTTAACTTTCTCTCCTTGTTGCTCAATTAGCAAATAACTTGATCTCCTACTATTTTTTTTCTTTTTTGGCCAGTCATGGGTCTTGAACTCAGGACCTGGGCAACTGTCCCTGAGCTTCTTCTGCTCAAGGCTAGCGCTCTACTACTTGAGTCACAGCACCACTTCTGGCTTTTTCTGTGTATGTGGTACTGAGTAATCGAACCCGGGGCTTCATGCATTCTATGCAAGCACTCTACCACTGAGCCACATTCCAACCACCCCTCTACCCCGGGCATTTTTTAAAAGCTAGAACAGCTGGGCACTGGTGGCTCACGCCTGTAATCCTAGCTATTCAGGAGGCTGAGAGCTAAGGATTGCTGTTTGAAGACAGTCTGATAGAGGAAGTCCATGAGACTCATCTCCAATTAACTATCCAAAAAAAAAAAAAAAAAAAAAAGCCAAAAGTAGAGGTGTGGATTCAAACAGTGGAGCACTATCCTTGAGCAAAAAAAGCTCAGGGACAGCATTCAAGACTCAGGACTGCTGGGCACCGGTGGCTCACGCCTGTAATCCTAGCTACTCAGGAGTCTGAGATCTGAGGATTGTAATTCAAAGCCAGACTGGGCAGGAAAGTCCATCAGACTCTTATCTCCAATAAACTACCAGAAAATCGGAAGTGGTGCTGTGGCTCACTTGCCTTGAGCTGAAGAGCCTGAGGGACAGTGCCCAGGCCCAGGGTTCAAGCCCCATGACTACCAAAAAATAAAATAAAAGACTCAGGACTGGCACAAACAAACAAACAAAAAAAAGATGAGACATAAATTCAATCATCTTGGAAGCATTCAAACATACTAACATCCATCCTGGTCTCTAATCTCGACAGCCATCCTCTCTCTCTCTCATTCTAGATTAATTTCTATTCTAATTTGCCCTTTGGATTCTGTCACTTTTGAATACTATATTCTTTCCATCAGTAGCTATGTTTCTGTTCCTTAAACTAGGCACCAAATCTGATTGTTCAATCATTTTCTAGATTTTCCACTCAGAAATAGCATGATAACTTCACGCTGAATAAATTCACACTGAACTTAGAATCTTCCAATTCCAAGTAGCTTCCTACCTCTATTTCTGTCTTCAACTCTGAAGACAAAGTAATAAGATTATTTTAAATGAAAAAGGGGAGTTTTATGAAATGACTTTTTGGAAAGATGATTGGGCCTGTTCAAAACAGTTTCCCTAGAAGCTAGTAAAGTCAGATTCTATTTCCAGCACAATCCATCCTGGTTACTCTAACACTGTTAGTTACTCACTGTTACTCTAACACCCTAACACTGTTACTCTGATAACTTTGAGAAAATGTAGAATATACAGAAAGTGATTTTCTTTGCCACAGTTTCAGTGTAGTAGAAAAAGGTTAGCACTCTGACAGTCCCAGTGGGATTAAGGTGGGGGGGGGGGGGGAACTAGTAAAACATATACCAGTAACTCTACAGTTACTCGACCAAATAGGCACGGGGTAAGGAGTTAAACAATCCTTTGGTTCCATAATGATTAAAGATTAAAAGGTCTACTTCTGCCCGGTGTCTCAAGCCTGTAATCTTGGCTACTTGGGAGGCAGAGAAGTGGAGAAGACAGTTTGATACCGGCCTGTCATAAAAGTTCACCAGTTGGGCTGGGAAGGTGGCTCAGTGGTAGAGCACTTGCCTTGCAATGCATGAGGCCCTGGGTTCGATTCCTCAGCACCACATAAGCAAAAAAAGAAAAAAGCCGGAAGTGGCGCTGTGGCTCAAGTGGTAGAGCGCTAGCCTTGAGCTGAAGAGCTGAGGGACAGCGCCCAGGCCCAGAATTCAGGCCCCACAACCGGACCCCCCCCCAAAAAAAAAAAAAAGTTCACCAGTCAAGTTCAACCAATGGCTAAGCATGGCGGTGGGCCTGTCATCCAGCTACAAGGAAAAGAAACAGCAGGAAAACAGCAGCGTAAACTGGGTGAGCATAATGGGAAACCCAACCTTGAAAATAATGAAGGCAAAACAGGGGTGAAGGCATGACTCCAGCGACGCAATACCTGCCTGGGAAACAAAAGACCCCGAGTTCAAACTTTAGTACCGTAAACAACAACAACAACAACAACAAAACAACATCTGACAGCTACCAGCTGTACAATCTGGACATCCTGACACATCACTCTTATCTCTGAAACAGAAGTGTGGAGCCGGGTGTAATCCTAGCTACTCAAACAGCTGAGAGCCTAGGATTCCCGAGACTTCTCTGTCAATTCATTACCAAAAAGGAGCCAAAAGTGGAGCTGTGTCGCAAGCGGTGGTGCACCAGCCTTGAGTGAAGCAGCTGAGAGACAGCCCTGAGTTCAAGCCCCAGTACCCACAGGCCTGCATGCACGTGTACATACATACATGCATGTGGCCACGAGGCCTACGTATGACAGAGAGTTAGACCTCACCCATCTGACCCCCAGGAACCTAATAACCCGGAATATCCCTCCCCCAAGGTGGCTCTCCTCGGAGCCATGGAGGGGCGGCGGCGGTGCACCTGTGCCCCCCTCCACGCGGGCAGCCGACCCCAAGCGGGGCGAGGGGCCCGGATGAACACCCAAGGGCCCACCGCTCCCATTTGTTTGGTTCGGGAGCGATCGGGGCCGCCGAGGTCAGATAACGGGCACGGGAAAGGAGGAAGAAGAGAGCGTCCCTGGGTTGGTTTCTCACCTCCGCGGGCGCGGAAGGAGGGTGGTCGCTAGGTACCCCACTCCCTCCCCCGGCGCTCGAACTTCTCTGAGGCTTGGCCGGCTCCAGGAAGCCACTAGCAACCCTTCTGCCCAACCTGCGGGCACAGAGCCTTCCGGGGGCATCCAGGCCTCGCCACCCGCCACCGTGAGACGCCGCGTATCCGGGCAACGGGGGCGGGGGCTAGCAGGTCCCTGCTCCCGATTGGCCCGTACTCAGTCTCCGCTCTCGGTACCTTAAAACGGAGGGGGAAATGCTCTCGCGAGACGCGGAGCCTCAGGGATGTTCCTAGTTGGTCCCCCCCCCTCCCCGCCCCCCGGTTCTTTTTGGTGAAAAGCGGGAAAAGGCAGGTTGACCAGAAAACAGCAGCGATCGGTGTGCGGCCCAGCTCGGCTGTCTGGATGGTGGAGAGGAACCTGCTTGCGGGTTTTGTTCCGTCTCCGGTAACCTCGCGGCCGCCGTGGTGAGCTGCGTGTAGTTTTGTAATGAGCTCGCCATGCCTTCTTTTTACCCTTGTCCTTCCGTCTGAGTGTGTGAAGAAGAATGTGCAAAGTGCTCTTTAAGGAACTACTATTTGGCGTTAGTATGTAGCCCAGGCTACCCGTTACACAGCCCTGGGAACTGTCATCCTTCTGGCCTCCGTCTCTTTAAGTGCTGGAATTGCAGTCAGATTCCACATCACCTGACTCAAAGAATTAGTGGGGTTGTTCCTCCCCCCCCCCCCCCCCCCCCCATTGAGACAGCTTACCTCAAATCCCACTTCTCTGATAAAATAGCGTTTACTCCCCACCTCCCGACCAAACACACACACACACACACACACACACACACACACACACACACACACACACACACACACACACACACACACACACACACACACACACACACACACACACACACACCCCAATTCATACAGGGCGCTTAAATGGTTTGTAAAGAAATCGAGATTTTATGTTGTTCATCATTCACATCCAGGTAATTCACATCCATATTTCTCCTGCATATGCTTGCTTTCAAGGAGTTTAAAATAACACAATCCATACCAGACCTGGTGACAAACACACTGAAGAGGCTGAGGCAGGAGGACCCAGAATTGGAGGCTTAGAGGCCAGCCTGGGCTGCATAGCAAAACTCTGTCAGGTTTTTTTCCCCCCTGACAAAGGGAAGGGAAGGGAAGAAAGAAAGCACTCCAGAATGAAATGTCCTGTGGCTTGGTTCATCCCTTAAAAGTTTGTAATTTTTCATGAAATTATCTACTTTTGAGCCTTACAGTTACAGTCCTTATGGTCTGACATAGCTCCTCCTTTACTTTTCTAGCCTTTCTATAGGAAATCAAAGTGATGGACACAAGCTTTCCCAGATTTACTTATACTCTCACTCTAATTGTGTGACACACTCCCCAGCCACAGAGGTGAAACCGAGGAAGGACTTCAGGGAGTCTGTGTAAATGAGGGAGATAGCCATAGTTGCCACATCCAGTTAAAGACTTCAGAGGTCTTTCAGCAACAACCAAGTCCAGCATCAGTGTGTTGGTGCAAGGATGTTGTCTAGAGGAGAACCTCTAGCCTCTTTCTTCAGCATCCTGAGAGCCACTTGGTGGTCATTAGATATATTCATTTTCTGTTTTAAAATCATCCACAGATGGTTTCAGTTTTTCAATTAAGAACTGACAGAAGCAGCGCTTGATGGCATAAGCTTGTAAATCCTGAAGTTAAAATGCTGAAACAGGAGTGATTTGAAAAACTGTAGCACCTGGATCTAGTCCTTTATTTTTTATTTTATTTTTTTTTTGGGTCCAGTTGTGGGGGCCTGAACTCTGGGCCTGGGCGCTGTCCCTCAGCTCTTCAGCTCAAGACTAGCGCTCTACCACTTGAGCCACAGCGCCACTTCCGGCTTTTTTCTTTTTGCTTATGTGGTGCTGAGGAATCGAACCCAGGGCCTCAGGCATGCAAGGCAAGCGCTCTACCACTGAGCCACCTTCCCAGCCCCCTAGTCCTTTATCTTGATGGTCTCAAAGAATGAGTCCACAGACACAGAAGATTTATTGACCAAAAAAAAAAAAAAAAAAGCCCAGTGAGAGCGTAAAACCCTGAGTTCAAGCACCACACACACACACACACACACACACACACACACACACACACACACACACACACACTTTGGATGATAAACTTTGGCACATTAAAACTCAAGCAGATCAGCTCCAAGTCTGAAGGTTGTCGAAGTGGATGCAAGAGCAAAACAAAGAATGTATTGTACTTGTCACAATAGCAAATTCCCACTGTCTACTGCTCAGGAAGCCCAAGCAAGGAGGAGTGCTTGGGTCAGGAGTTTGAGGTCAGCCTAAACAATAAAGCAAAACCTCATCTCAGGAGAAAAAAGCTAAAAAATTATTTGGAGTCGGCACCAATGGTTCATGACTGTAATCCTAGCTACTCAGGAGGCTGAGATCTGAGGATCATGGTTCAAAGGTAGTCCAGGCAGGAAAGTCCATGAGAATCTTCAATTAACCACCAGAAGCCAGAAATGAAGCTGTGGCTCAAGTGGTAGAACATTAGCCTTAAGCAAAAAAGCTCAGCAACAATGCCTAGGCCAAGTTCCAGGAACTGCATATACAAAGAAAATTATATGGCTAAAATTTGAGCAGTCGCCTCACTTGTAATGCTCTGGATGGAAAGTTAAAGACAACAAAACTAGTGGCTAGTTGGCCACTAGTGACTGACTGCATTATTTTCCTTATAGAAGAACCCAGGTCATTAGAGCTCAGTCTAATGACCTCCATTTCTTTATTTTAATACACTACATATCACCCCCTACTGTAACTTCCAATTATATATATATGTATATATATACTTTTGTTTGTAAAAGAAACAAACATGTTCAGAACTGTATTTTAGCTCAAAAACTAACCAGGATGCTTTCAGTTACATGTTTTAAAAAGAAAGTTTTCCTTTTCTTACTCTCCTCTCTCCCTCCATTTCCACTTCCCAATGTTTGAAAATTCAAGAAGAATGTCTTTATAGCTCTGGGAAAGGTCATCATAGTCATCCCTTTATCTTGCTGATCTCAGGAGTGAAGGAACATTCTGCACAGCAAGGAATACAGTACATCAAGTAATAAACAGGGCCTCTGGCCACCAAACAGTTGGAAGTCATGTCTCAGTATATATAACCAGAAGCCCACACCAGAGAGCTTTCATCAAAAAGCCCTTCCCTTTCCTCAGGGAAGACTGTTCCCTTCTTATTTTGCCTGACAAAACTAATAAGCCTTTATTTTCTTTTGTCTAGTACCCTGCTCTCATTATTTGTCAATTAGCACTGAGTTCAACGGACCCAATTTCTGGTATCATGTTATCAAAGACAAAGGTGGAATTTGATATAAGATTTTAATACATTGCAGAGGGAAGAGTGAAGTAGGAACTGAAATCTACATTGATTTGAACAGAGACACCATAAAAGTTAAAAGTATACACAGGTGAGGGTGTTTTAAAAGAAATATGGGAAAAAATAAACATGGGAGTAAAGGCAAGCAGATGCTCAGTAGAATCAGGGTCTCCAGGGTGACCTTGAACTCACTACATAGTCCAAGCTGACCTGGAACTTGAAAACTTGCTTCAGCCTCCTCAGTGTGGAGATTAAAGCCTATACCACCATGTGTGGCTCAATTTTCTGCTCATTATAAATCACTCAATCTAAGGTATTTTGTTATTGCTATTGCAACCCAAAAGTACCAGAAAACTAGGAAACGGAAGGATGAATGGAGGATACATAGAGGGAGAAGGACAAAAGGATGACCCTAATTAAGATGCATGTTGAACAGAAACCCCTTTATACAACTAATTAAAGATAATTTTAGAATAAACCTTTCTTTTTCTTTTGGTCGGTTATGGGGCTTGAACTCTGGGCCTGGGCCCTGTCCCTCAGCTCTTCTGCTCAAGGCTAGTGCTCTACCTTGTGAGCCACAGTACAGCACCACTTCCAGTTTTCTGGTGGTTAATTGGAGGTAAGAGTCTCATGGACTTTCCTACATGGGCTGGCTCTGAACTGCAATCATCAGATCTCAGCTTCCTGAGCAGGATTACAGGCATGAGCCACCAGTGCCCAGATAAAATAAACCTTAAGTGCCATGAAAAACTTGCATTGGTCCATGTGAAACCAACCCATTTAGCTTTGCTAATTGGTGCTTATGTTAGGCTCCAACCCTACACAAGAGACCCAGGCACTATCTGAAGTTATTGGCTGAATCAGCCTGTCCAGACAGACTTCAGACTTGCTGAGATATTTACTCCTCACTGGCTAGCTCCATTTTAGAAAGATGAAGGCAACTGTCGTTCTATCGGCAGACCCTTCTGGTAAACGGGGTGAAGCAAAGGAAGGTCAGAGTATCTTCCTTTCAGCTTTAACACATACCAAATGTCAGTTTTGTTAAGATTCCTTGTTTTAGTTTGCCTAAAAATCTGAAATCACAAGTTCTAGACCAAATTGTCCTCAACTTTATCCTCATATGTTTGTGAGTGTGTGTGCCCTCGTGTGCACTGCTACTGAAGCTTAAAATCAGGAGCTTATTTGGATTTTTTTTTTTGTGCCATTCCTGGGGCTTGAATTTAGGGCCTGGGCACTGTCTGAACTTTTTTGCTCAAGAATAATGCTCTACCACTGAGACACAACACCACTGCTGGCTTACTGTTGGTCAATTGGAGGTTAGTGTCACAGACTTTTCTGCCTTGGCTGTTTTAGGAGTTTCAGTAATTTGTGCTCCGTATCTAGGGAATGAAGGGGAAAAATTTGATAAAATATATTTGATTGGTTAAAGTAGAAAGTACAGAGAATAGTTTGTCAGATTCTGATTGGTTAAACTTAAGTTTCCATTTTCTGATGAATTAGGCTTTAGAGTAGGAGTCATTTTAGCCTAATGATTTTTGAATTAAAAACTTAAGGCAAATTATTTGTGAAATGAGAATACGACTTACCTTTGAGGGCTCTAAGTGACAACTGAGCGACTATGTTGAAATTGCTTTGTAAATGAAAATATGAAGTAGGAAAACATTCATGGAGGGCCTGTTATAAAGCAGTAAGTAGGTGGTAAAGACAAAATTGTCTTACATGTGAACCTTTTTGAATCCAGTAAACAGTATATAGGAGATAAAATTGT